TGTCCAAGCCAAGGTGCTGTGAAGTGGGCAACCAGCACCACACTGGACATTGAGAAGCAAGGAAATTGCTCCTTGGAGAGAGGCAAATGAAGTGGGTGTCCAGAGAGAGGCAAAGAGGATGGACCTTCAGGCCAAGAAGGCAGAGAACAGCTCCTGACAGCTCTCCAGTTTTCATCCAGCTGCCACTCCTCTTTCCCCTGAGATCTGCCTTGACGCCCTTGGCTTTGTGAGGTCTACTTTCCAAATCAGACATTTCCCTATGGGGCTTAAGCTTGTTTAAAAGGGTTTCTGTGCCTTGCAAGCAAAAACTCCTTGAATAAGCCAATATTTCATTTGTAATGTGTGTGTGTGAAATGTGAAACCCAGATTTTTTGGTTCAAATGCTGAGTACAACTGGAGTCTGAAACCCCCCTCCCCCAACTCTCGTCCCTTAATCTATAGACACTACCAGTGCTGGTCCCACCAAAGCTCCATGTAGCCTCCACTGAGGTGTCTCCAAGGCTCCCTGAGTCTCACAGTGCGACCCATAGGATCCCGCTAGATGGGTAGATATTTCTTCTCAGGCACCTCAAGAGACTCAAGCTGAAAGTGTAGGTTGTAAATGAAAGCTTCAGACAATATTTGCAGCCATGGGAACCTCTCTGACTTTCCTAGAAAGACAGGTGTTCCCTCTTCTACCTTCCTATAATCCAGGGGTCAACAAAGAGTTACATAGTATAGGCTTGTGGGCCATATAGGCTCGGTCATTATTACTCAACTCTGCCATTGCAGGACAAACACAGCAGGTTCGTTCCCAATGGAGAAAGCTTCCTCTCAGCATTAGGCTGACTTACCAAATGTGCATTCTCTCTCTCTCTCTCTCTCTCTCTCTCTCTCCTCTCTCTCTCTCTGTCTCTCTCTCTCTCTCTCTATCTCTCTCCTCTCTCTCATCTCTTTTAGCCAAAATGCAATTTTGTCCTGGTGGAATTATATCCAGAGCTCCTCTAAGGAAAAACTGGAGTAATTAAATATTTCAGTCTCCATCTGACTTGCTATTTATACAAGTAGGGTGAAGCCTGCTCTCAATAAGCCTTTGTTGGTGACCCTTGGGTTTAAGCTTCACAAGCTGCAGGTCAAGTTCAAACCAGCAGGTGAAGGACAACACTGTCCCCATCCATGAGCCTTTGTCTGTAGGACATGCTTACATCATGTTCTTGCACCTCCTCCTCTGAAAGAAAATCTCAAAGGTAGACCCTCTCCCTCTGGGATTGGATCTGAAATTTGACTTCAGACCAGAGGGCATTAACTTGGACTCCACAAGTTCCTTGACATTGGTGTAATGTGTGTGTGCACGTGCGCACACGTGTGTGTGTGTGTGTGTGTGTGTATAATTTTCTTGGGAGAGGGGCCATCAGTTTTATCAGCTCTGTGAATGGTCTTCAGCCCCACAGAGTAAGAACTGCTGCTCTCCAGTGTGTACTAAGATTTTGTTGCTCAAGGGAACTGATGGCATCCACAAGAGAGGATTTGGAATTTGTTCTTTTCTCCCAGGAAGCAAATTTCATCTCCCAAATCCAATTTCATTCACCCTTGAAATATTCCCTGAATCTTAGCTTTTAGATGTCCAAGAAGGCTTTTAAAGGAAAGGAGATCTGTTAGGGTTGACCTGGGTGGAGCCATGTAAGACAACAGAAGGTGAACTGAGTTTTTCTCTTTCAGTGACTCCACTCAAGCAGACGGACGACCTGGAGGCAGTGGACATATCTCAGCAGGGTGCTGCCGTCAGACTTCAGGTCACAACTTAGAAATATAAGGACCAAGAAATCATGTCATGTAATATTCGTTTGAAGCTTTCTCCCCAACGTCCTTAACAGCTAATAGAATGCTCCATAGAGGAAACATGCCCTGCTCCTATGAGGGTTTAAGGGTTCAGCAAGCCACAAACACATTCATTCAGCATCACATACTCTGTGCGTGTGCACGTGTACGCTCTGGAGTATGACAAGTATAAAGAGGTATACAACTTCCTTCCCCTTCTGGTGGCAATCTCAACACTTACATGGAGTTGTTATAGTTTGACACAATCCCAGGAGATTCCCCCGGGGTGGGACTCTGAAAACAAGGATTGTTCACATTGCAGAAAATTCCAAAAACCTGCTGAGGGCATCGCCTTTTTGGGAAAATGGCCTTTAAGACAGGAAATGAAGACAAGGAGTTAGTCATCCAGAACAAGCAAGACTCAAGCCCTAGGAGCTGGGGCCTTTGCAGGAAGGAGCCTGTTCCCTCTGGTGCTTTCCTTCATTCATCCACATTTAAGAAGCAGGAGCATCTAATATATGCCAGGCCCTGCTCTGGACGCCAGAGACAGGGTATCTTCTCTCAAGTTCCCAGTGTAGTGGAGAAGGGGGCAGACAAATTTTCTAATAGAGGCATAGATGGAAGTACAGAGGGAAAACAGAGGAGGAGCACAGTATTGTATGGTGGGAGATGCAAAGGGATGTTAGCTCAAGAAGCCTCCACGAGTTGCTGATGCTTGAAGAGAAGAGGTTTGCCTAGTCCTTCAACAACTATTCCAATGAAGACCTATCCTGAGCAGGCAAGAAGATTGCAGCTTACTAGCTCCTGGGGTGTGGGGGGAGGGAAAGAAGCAACAGTTCAATGGACAGGAAGCTGACTTGGAACTTGCGGCTTGGAACTCATGAATAAGAAGGTGAGGAGCAAGAATAGGAAGCTGAACAGCTTTGTATAACTCCTGAGGTCTGCGTATCAGCTGCCTGGAGGGAGGGGAGATTGTCCTGCCCAGAAGCCAGGTGAAGGTTTTTCCACAGTATAAAAGAGGCACTCACAGCTCACACTAAGTCCCAGGACACATCTAGCATCCAAGACATAACATTTTATTAAGCGTGGTTGTGTAGCATCCCTTGTTCTTTTTTCTCTAGCATCATGCATAACATATCCCTAAATTGGTTTCCAAAATATTTTAGAGAACTCATCTATACTCTGTTCACTTTAAAACTAGTAATAGTTTAGGTACAGAAAAAAAAAAACAGAAATAAAAACAAAAAAATAATCACACAATTCTTCAGTAACCACATGCATAGGATGTAAAAGAATAAAAGATTAGTTTGCACAATACTGATAAATCTCTGTTTTCTGCATTGTAGGTATGAAATGATGATAAGAAAATCCAGTGCTGGGACCTTTAGCCCCCAAGATTTTTTTAAACAAAAGGATGAGATTTCCGGGTCTGCCAAGGGTCCGCTTTTATGCTTACATTCATGTTTGCTGTAGAGTGGGTTGACATTCCTTAACCAGATCAAGACCAGAAATAAAGATAAAGGCCACATGAGTTCCACCACAAAGCGAATCTAAAAAACAAAACAGAAAGAAAGATTAGTGATGTTAAGAGATTGTAGGAAACATAACCAGAGCAAGCAAATTTATCTCAGCACCTGCCTATGAAATAAGACTTTAGTCATGGGATATTTCCTAAAGGACTTCCTCATTTTATTCCCTCTCCCACACTACCTATACTCCGATATGTTAGACCAGCAAGACTTGGCATCCATCTGAGCTCTACTCCGCTTCTATTTTAGAAAACTGCATTAGCACGGACCTTTCATCAAGGATCATCAGGATATGTGCTTCAGTGTTCTTTGGATGTTGCTGTACATGAATGCAGATTTTACATGGCCATGCCAGATCTTGCCTGACTAACAAGCTCTCAGGTAATACTGATGCCACAGGTAGTAAAGATATTGTTGTAACCTCTCCTGTGGATGATGAAACAGAGGGCCAGGGCGGGCAGGTGATCTGTGCAGTGTCACATTTGCGTTAGAACCAAAATCCAGCCTCTTGTCTCCAAAGTCAATACCTTGCCCCTCCCCACTGCCCTGCCTTCTAGCACACGCTACACTATGCATGGTCACTAATGAATGAATGAACACACAAATGACTCTGTGAAGTACTGTGATTCATAGCAAAGTCAAGAAAAATCTGGGTTTACCAACATTTTTCTTTCAACAATTTCTTGTTGCTTAAAGAAGCAAAGCAAGGCATACTGCCATGGGTTTTTACAATACTGAAAGAGCTTATTGAGACCAACATATGGTTGAAAGTTGGTGTTTAAATTTAGGTTCAATTTAGAGTTTAAGGACTCTTAACTGCAAAGGAAGAAGAACCAGTGAGTTGTTGCAGCCCATACTGTGAGGCATTGCACATGAGGGTGGAGGTTGGAGGTATGGGATTATGGGGGGTAGGAGGGAGAGGAGGGAATGCGAATTGGAAGATATAATAGTTCTTTTATCCAACCCTAAGTCCAGAGACCTTAGGAGGAAAACTCAAACATTTAAAGGAGAACTTCAGCAGGTGGCTAAGAATAGAGACTTAAGTATACATAGATCTGCCAGGGGCTATTTGCCTGGTGTTTTAATCATTGTTGTTCCCTCCAAAAAATGCACTAAATTCTCAGCAAAAGTGTGGACACTACAGGAGGTGCTCAGCAGATGTTTGTTCCTTTCTTGCTGGTAAGGTCTGGGGGCAACTGAATTATTACAATCATAACCTGAATCCATGAAGACAAAAGGATAATGCATTGGAGAAAAAGCAGAAACTGTTTAGAGCAGGTGGTGATTATAAGTTGCAGTTGCAACTTATTACGAAATGTTTTACTTAAAATATGTGTAGGGAGGATGTGTTAGAGGAAATACACAAATATTATGGGAAGAAGAAAGAATAGTAGATTTTCCCTAAGGCACTCATTTTTCAGGGCTCCCCCTACACATTCTCCCACAAGATGGCCAAACACCAATATTTGGACAATTTCCATCCAGTGTTCAAGGGACTGACCTCAAGCGCATTTGATAGACACTGGAATGTGGCAGTCCTTCCCCGGCACGCAAATCAAAGGAGAAGGGGCTGAGCCTCTTCCCCAGCTCCCCTGTCCCTTGTTGACATCCTGCCCTTATCAGGCCAGCATGACAGTTCTCACGGCAGCCCATACTTACCCTGTCCTATCACTCATCCAATGTCAGGGTCATTACTCCTTCGTGTAAGTGGACCCCTCACTGGCTGTAAGCTTCCTGAGGTCAGGGACCATGTCTATCCCCATCACTACTGTGACTCTAGCACGGCACGACAGGGCACGGCTCATAATAGGTGCCCGATCAATATGGAATGAGTGAGCCTCTGTCAAGACTGGTCTAGAAGGCTCCTCCAGGAAAGCTGGAGGTTACACAGAGGCTCAGGTCACCAACGATTTTCAGATTTCACACACTGTATTGGCTTCATACCTTCTATCCCAGGTCCTCCAGTGAGTAAAGTTGAGGAGCAAGTCTGGCAAGACTGCAATGTGAATAATGGATGCAAAGGGTGAAACCAGAAGTCTTTCCTGATGTTTTTACCAAGAAAATGAGACAGCCAGTCCAGATTCTGCACGTTTGACTCTTCCTTAAGACAACTGCTTACAACCTTGGCTTTCTACCAAGTAAGTCAAACTCCTTCCACATAGCAAGTCTACCTGGGGGTAGTCTGGTATATTAGACATTAACGTTGGTTTGGGAACAGGAAGATCTGGGTTAAGAATCACTTTGGGGCTTGGTTAACCTCTGAGTCTCAGTTTTCTCATCTGTGGAGTAGGACTATTTTGTCCTACAGTGTACACCAGAGGTTAAGGGTGTTTCAGTACTGAGGTTTCATACTTGGCTCTGCTCCATATTAGCTGTATGACCTTGGGTAACCCATTCAACCTCTCCACGCCTCAGGGTCTCATCTGTAAAATGGGGATGATGCCAAGACCCATCTCCCAGAGCAATGTGAGAATGAAGTGAGTCACAGTCACCTAAAGCAGAATCTGGCACAAGGTAACGTTCAATGAACAGGGGCCGTTTATTATTGACTCTCACTTCTCACAAACAGCACTGTAGGCGACTGCACATTGTGAAGGCTAAAGAGTCAGGAGATAAAATTAAGATTATCTGCAAGCTCTTAGGCTTGCCCTCCACTCACATTCATTTCTTCTCTTTTTCTCTTTCCGAATTCAGAACAGGTCATTTGCCAGTTTGGAAATGTGGGAGAAACTAACCATACGCTGTCTCCTGCTCCACACCTTAGAGTGGCTGGGACCAGGGGTGGGATCAGCCAGCCTGGCCTACATGTCCCATGGATAAAATTCCCAGACTCAAGCTCGTGCATCTCATTCCTCTTTGCAATGTTAGTCACACACTCTCTCATCTATTCACTCAGTCACTCGGTCACTCAGTCAGTCACTCACTCCTTATATTTTGGAAGTATCTGGTCTTTGCGAGCATTGTGATTTAAAGTCCTCCCATTCGTGGGTGGGGGGGGAGTGCAAATCAGAATTCTTTCCTCCTTCACTCTTTGCCTAGCCCTAGGACAGGTGTGTCTTTGCAGGTGTTCCTCTTTATCATATCTCTAAGTTAGGGCTGCTATTTTCTGCCTGTAATCCTTACCCCTCACGTGATCCCCTTCGTTGACCTAGGTCTGCATTTCTTATGTGCTGGAATCATGTGGGAGCTTAAGGCATGCCCCGGATCAACTACACTAGTGCCTCTGATCTTGGGACATCGTTTTGTTTTGTTTTGTTTTTTAACATTTCTCAGGTAATTCCAAATGTGCAGCTGGGTCTGAGAATCACTGGCATCGATAGTGGTTGTAATCTTTGAAAAACATTTGTTGAGGTCAGTGTTATTGTTTTAACTCTGTGAACATTTGTTTTGGAGAGACTGCATTTCACACTTCACTCCCTGCACAAAGACCACGGGCAATTCTTTTCCAGCCTGGCAGGTCCTCACAACAACCTCTTCTCCCTCCCCCAGAATCGTACTCAGTACCCGCACCCCAGAGCGGCATCCTTGTCCTTGATGCTCAACTGTGCAGGGCATACCCCAGGGAGAAATTCCACAGCGTAATTAAAAACATGTTTTCAGAGCAGCTCTGACTACCCCCACCCCTTCCCTTTAAACATGTCTGTAACTTTAATTAAGCCCAGCCAAACTCAGAAGGGGTCGGTGGAAATTTTTTTTCCAAACTGGTATTTCCTTGTTCTCTTTTCTGCTTCCCCTCCCCCTCTCTTTACCATGTGGGAGGACGGTCGCAGGGAAGGGCAGAGTTGTGCTTGTTATTTTAAATCTTGGCCAGTTAGACATCCCCCCACACTCTACTCTGTTTTCAATTTAAAAGCGGGTAGCCAAGGATTGAAATGAACTGTGCGATTCTCCCTTCTGCACCCAGAGCCCAGACAGAATTCTTAGCCTGAATGAATATGACCCAGGACCATCTGCCAGGGAGTCTGGGACCCGGGGATGAAACCAAGGGCAGAGGTTGTGTCTAACTCACCCGGCCATACAGGATGTGCAGGGTGACCATACAGCCCAGGTCCAGTGTTAGTTTACGTTTGTTGTCCTGGTGTAATTGTTAAAAGTGCCCCCTCACTTTTGTAACTGCCTTGGTTTGGATGAAAAATTAGATGGCCACCCTATCATTGTGGTCTTCATGGTCAACTTATTAGATAAGGCTTGATACATGGGGGCAGTGTGGGGTAAGGGCCATGCTTGCCTGTCCTGGAGTTTTAGGTCCAGCCCCACCAGTCACTAACCTCTGAAGTCTCATCAGTACCCATGGGGATAACAGTAGTATCTGTCTCGTGCAAGTGAGGTGAGGGTTAAATGAAGTGACAGTACAGTGCCAGGCACTTAGTAATACTTGATAAATGTTAATGGGGGTTGGGGGGGGCGGGGAAGGGAGGGAAGAACATCTGAAGATTTTCATCTTACGCCCTTAGGGATTGGGAGAGGAGGAATGGGGAAACTTGGTATCTGTTTTTGCTCTTGCTCATAATAGTAAACACCCAAAACCATGGAAGTTTGAGAAATTAAAAACGTAGGAACTGAGTTTATGGGCTGAGCATGTTGTACTTTTTTTCCCCCTTAGAGTCACCATTTGTGCAGGCAGAAGCTTCTAGAAGAATCAAAAACTTAGGGAAAAATAGACCCCTCTCAGAGCTACTGAGGGCTGTGGAGTATGCCTCTATCTTTACCCAGACCTCCTGGAAATTCCTGGAATGTGGTAGCTATGGGGAAGCAGGCTGGAGATATACCAGACAAGAGATCTCAATTTCCAGGCCATCAGGATGGCATCGAAAGAATATCAGCCAGACTAGGTGCATCCTGGTAGATTTCCCAAGCTAAGGTCTTCAGCATGAATTGCCCCATCTCACCCCAGAGGGGCTGGAAATGTGGAAAAGATAGAATTCCTGAACAGGGGACACTCACCGC